CCCCAAAACCCCAAAACCCCAAAACCCCTGAGTGGATAATAAAAATTGAAGATGTCAAAATGGGTTCTCAGCACAAGGGAGAAGTCTCCTAAAGTACTTAAATTTGAGAATTTTGACTTACAAAGGTAAGCTCTTACTCTGACTTTAAGCATTTTTAGCCTCAAGTGTTTTTCTATAGAAATAAATTACTTAAAAGTGCATTATATAATCTTATCATAGTGATCTTAAAGAACATAGCTATTCTCATATACAAGATGGTTTGGGTCAAAAGCGAAAAGAGAGGATTTTGAAGAGTATTTGCCTCGATTTCCTAATCTGATAATTTACTCTAGATTTTGATAAATTCAATCGACAGTCAAGGATAGAAGTTCGAACGACAAATAATTGGACCGCAAAGTTCATTATAAAGTTTTATTTTTTAGGCCTCGAACAATAGAACAGAAGCCAGCCTTTGGAAATAGGAGTGATCAAGAGATGCATCTTGACCAGCATAGTGACTATGGTAAGGAAAAATATTGATTTATTGTAGACAAATCCATCACTGAGGTAAATTGTACATTAAATCAGCTTAGTTTAAGAAACTTGTGGCCAACTCTGTCAGGAAGCTTCATAGCTGGGATAAGAAGGATGTTATAAGAAAGGAGCAGTTATAATCAACCCTCTGAAGATTCTAGTCACTCCAAAGAAGAAGTTCCTCCGCAAGGATCTGATCAAAGTGTCAGTGATGAACACTAATAAGTCTCAGCAGACAAATGTGGCTAAATAAAAACTGGGAAAGTATTCATTTAGTCTCCAAATGGCAAAAATTTCCTAAAAAGAAGAAAAAGGACCAGAATAACTTTATGAGAACCAGAAGGATCAATAATTTGTACTACACTGCATTGAGGAAGAAGGTCAAGCAAAGCTTCGGTACTCAGCAGAATAGCAGAGATCAATCAGTAGAACCATTTCCTTACCATGTTTCTGCTATCACCAATCGTACGAGACCATGTGTGTATCCTTCAGAGAAAAGAGATAAATTCACTAAATTTTTAGTTCAAATGCTGGGATCTACTCCAAACAAACAAGAGAAAAAGACTTCTAAGAATATCCCAAATTCTGATGTGAGAAAGTGTATCAGTATCAACCGGATCAGCAATATAATTCCAAAGACACCTGAGGTAAGGCAACTCCAGGGTAAAAAGACAATATCTAAGACGAAGACAAATGTTGAATTTCCAAAGCATGCCCTAAATATAAAGGATTCTCTAAATGTCACCAATGAAAATGTCACAGGTGCTAATCTATATCACCCAAAAATCACTTTACCCAAACCCCAGGCTCTTCGGCAGTCCCAGAACGCTAAACAAAAGGTAGAGGTCATTGCATGGCAGAAGGAACAGAAGGATGACGACTCGATTATCACATTTGAATAAGCCGGCCCCTACAAAATTCTACGAATATTTTCTAGGACAGATTGGGGTTTTGGGGTTTTGGGGTTTTGGGGTTTTGGGG